GCTGAGCCTGAATATTGAACTGCAGCTAATATTGTTAGTTGCAAGCGATAAATCCAGTATCTTAGAATGCCTTTTCACAGCAGAAGAGCAGCTCTTGTGAAACAGCCAGTGTGTCAACATTTTCTCAGTGGCGATGCCTGTCTCCTCAGTCTGTGAATCGTGACGCTGGGTTGCTCTGGTTTGCACTTCCTGGGCAGATCCTGGGATAGGAGCCCTTATCAGATCTGCACTGAGCGGACTGGAGCTGGGCTGCAGCTGCAGGCCTGGATCACAGGGCCATCAGCACAGCAGCTTTGCTGTGTCCACAGCCTACAAATTCCCATTTTTGCTGTGGACACAAACCTGCTTCTCTTTTCCCCTGCCAGCGGGGCTGAATAAACGCCTGAGGGTTGGGTGCCACGCCACACTCCATCACTCAACCGCAACAGGAGTCTGCCTCCATCATAGCAGTTAGAACGTCCTTAATTCCTCTCCAATGCACTGGTATTTTTCTGTAATTTTATGGACAGTTTTAAAACCATACCTTGCTGTTTGGTGCTAAGAACTTGACGCAGGTAGAAGGCTGTCACACCAAACTGTAGACACTCTCCTAGGAGCTGTGTCCTTGAGCATGAGCCACCCCAAGAAAGGAGACAACAGACGTGTTTCATTGCAGTGTTGAATGCTGGGAGAAGAGCAGAAAGGCAATAGCAGTTTATTGCTCAGCACTGGAGAAAACGCCTGTCTCCACCTAATCCTGTGCATGTTTCACTAAAGGCTGCTCTTGCAAAACAAGGCAAGATTCTGAGAAAGTGCCCTGCCCCTCCCCTGCACACCACACTGCCTTGGTTATTCTGGCAGCTGTTCCTTTAGTTGTGTGTTGCTGTTGTGTTTGTTCTCCATATCAACACAATGGGCAGAATCCTTGAGGGTACAAAGTGCCAGGCTATTTATGGTGGTTTTATTTTTCTAAATCAAGCCCAGAGTAAAAAGGAGGCTCCGTTCTTCTGGATTGTGTATCTAAGCAACAGCAGGCAGCAGAGAAAAAGCTCCTCGCTGTGCTGTATCCCAGAGAGTCTGGATCATGGGGGAGTGTCGTGCCAACTTCAGAGGGAGCAGGCGAGAGGTTGGAGGCCGCGACAGGGCTTCTGCACCCTTCCTTGTGTGCTTATCCCTGGAACACGCACTGCAACACCATCGCCCAGGAGAGTCATGGCACAAGGCGGTGTTCAGGCTGTGCTGGGAAATGTGGCCCAGTGCGCTGCAGGGAGAGAGACAGCTTGTTGCTGTTTAACTGGTCTCCCTTCATGGGCGAAAGAAACAGGAGGGGGTCTCTGGTTCCACCTAATGGACAGTCGTGTTATAGCAACAGCTAAAACCATTCTCGTCTTCATAGCGATGTACTCACTGTGGGGTTTTTATCCTTTTAAAATGACCACAACAGTGAATTGAAGCCAAAACACTGACTGTAGATTTTAAGGGTTTTTTTTAGAGAGAGCACAGCATTTCATTTGTTTTTATCGGCACCTATTCATTGTACTTTTGTTTTAGGATGTTTCTATCCCGCACCCCTAACTGGAAACAGTGGTATTTTTTTGCAGACAGCATGTTTGTCCTTCCTAAAACTGTGCCAGAGTTTTAAAAGTCACCAGCCCGCTGACGCTTACCGGTTTCACCACTCTGACAGCGGCTGCAGTGATGTTCTCAGGAGAGCAGTAGATCTGGCGGCTCTCCTGACTGAGCTGCGCTTCCCAGTGGATGCAGCTATTGCTCCTCATACATGCTAAACAGGTCAGGTCTCGAGGCTGTCTCCCCATGATGTCCCCTTTCACTCACAGCTATGCTCCCACCAAGCCCCCCAAAACTAAGCAATATAACAAGACAGCTCTAATGAAAGCTGCCAAGCCTCACCGGCCTTCAGGTGCACAGGGACCCTCTTGTTGAGGAAACGATCACAGCTACTCCGGAATTCACTTTCCGTGTAAATAGCTTTTTGAAATCCCCCCACCAGTTGGGCAGTTGATAGCAGAGTTACACTCTGCATGTTGGAGCGGGTTATGCAGTATTCACAGCCTCACTGCACAGTATACTGTACGTTTCAAAGGCAAAGCTGTGTTTGCCGGCACAGCTTGAAAATGTTTCGCTCGTTTTATAGATTTGTTGCGATAAAGGAAAACTTCTTGAATATAATTTTTTTCCACCTCTAGAAAAAAAATCAAAAGCAAAAATCTTAGATGATATCTTAAACTAAAATTGTGGCAACTTGTGTATTTTTATGTGGCGTCAAACTATTTTGTGTGGTTTCCAGATAATGGTTTGTTTGCAACTAATATGTACTGGAGGCTTTTTATATAAATGTATACTTTACTGTGACTATAAATTTATGTAGTGGACTGAATTGATACAGTGTGACAACCGAGAGTAACAATCTGTGGGAACATCGATATGTACATCTATATTTTTAGGGAGAAGAAATATTTTCAGGATGAGGTTTGTTGCTCTGTGTCGTCGTGCTGGATTGGACTCACAGCCAGGTGGAAGGAGGATCAGCTGGCCTCCTCTCCAGGACCCAGGAAAGAGAGAGTCCTTGGTTTTAAGAGATGACACCTCCACTCACTTTGGAGTCTGTCTCTGGTTATCGGTACACACTGATGCTCAGCGTGAGAGCTCTGATGTGCCAGGACCATGAAATAGCCCCTCTTTAACGCAAGACCTATTGCCTGACACAGGAGAAATGGAGCATTTTGTTGGCTGCACAGCCTTATTATCTGTGAACCTGCTGGGATGCCATTATGGCGTTACTCAGTTTGTGCATTCATTTAGCAGAGGAGGTTTCTGTAATCTCTTGCTGGTTCAGGGTTGAGTGATGTCTGAGCTTGTTAGGAGACCTTCTGTCACTGTACAGAATGTTGTATTTCAAAATCAAGAGAAACTGGTTGATTTTTTGACTCATCTTTCAGGAGCTTTTTATTCCCCTCGGAAGAGAACGTTCGGAATCGTGGCAGCACAGGAGGGAGAAAGTGAATGGATTATATATCACCTTAACCACACTGCAGTGGGAATTCTGGGATTGTAAAAACTTTCCAGGTTCCAAAGGCAGCTCCTTGTAGTGGAGCTATGTGACAGGTGTTTGCCAGGGAGTGTTAGGTAACTAAACGTTCATTGGCCTTCTGTACGCTACCCCCAGCTTTAGAGAACTGACAGCATAGTACATCTTTTTAGTCCAAAGCTGATTAGCTGAAATGTCAGCCACTGCTACTGGTGCAAAAAGTTCAGGTTAATAGCCTATTTGCACAGGGCTCATCAGATTGTATTTTAATTTGTTCTGATGTAACTTGGCAACCTGCAGCCCTTGCAAATGTATCTTGGAGGGCAGAGTACACAATGCTGAAATTCTGCGCTTTTTATTCTTCTGGAAAAAAAAAGGAGATCATTCATTGTGATATCCGATTATGACTTGAATTACCCGACAAGAGATCCTGCTGCTCCTCAATTTTTCACTCTTCAGCGTTTTCCCTTCAGACTGAAGTGACGTTGCAATGTAGGAAATCAAGTGTCGCCAACTACTGTATGTGTGTCTTCGGTTTTCCAGTCAAATGCTAATTTGAATGTTCCAGTTCTGGGCACAGCCTGTTATAATCCACGGTGCAGCTCGAAGATGCTGGAAATGCCCCTGTGTGACAATGATGAGGCCAGTGCCCACATGACAGCGCCATGCAGGTTGCCTGCTCTTTGTGCCCGTGCATTTAGTCCTCTGTTTTCGGGGGAACTTGCCCCTTGTTGGTAATGAGGTGGTAACTTGCTGGCGTCTGCAGAGCCTACAGTTCTGGGGGCTGTAGAGGCAATAAATGTATAAATGTAAGAACTGTTGTGCTGAAGATAACAAGCCTTATAGAAGGCAAACATGAGAAGCTTAAAACAAGTTTGTGAAGGATGGGTGGCCTTTTGACAGACTGCAATGATCTGAACAAGCTTATCGTATTCATTTAATCCAGCTGTTACTGAATTATTCATGGCAACTGGCTTCAAAACAATCTATCACACAATCCACCAAGACTACTGTACATCTTCTCCAGGAGTTGTCTCGTGCTCAGTTGATGGACTGTCAGCACAATGGCAAATGTGCAGTTTTCTTTGCAGTAACAAAAACAAGAGGACTTCTCAGAATTTGTTCATGAATATTGTGTTTCCTTCATTAATGATGTAGGAAGAAGTAGTTTGATCCATGGATAAAGAAAAGAGCTGAACAATTAACACAGCACTGTTCATTTTTTATGTAAAAAAACAGGTTATTTATTCAGGTTTAGAAAAAATAAAATTAATGTTACTCTTTTGAAAATTAATTCTACTTTTAATTTAGGAAAGGTGTGGGCATACACATGAACTAAGCCAAGTGTACCATCTGTTCAGTTTTATGTGGATAGGCACAATGCTGTACTGAAAACATTTCATCAGCAAAACGAATGTCCTAATGAGCTGCTGTCAACCGAGCCCAAAGAGAAAGCTGTTTTTTCAATATGTTTTTATTTCAATACTTGCAAGTCTAATTATACAGGGCTCTATGTTTTGTAATTGTTTAATAAAGCTCTGTGATGATGCAGAGGCTTCTGTGCCTGAGCGCGTTGGCTTGTGTCTGAGCTACAGTACAGCAAAGCCCCAGTTGGTGAATCTCTACTGTGTGTAGGAGGAAGACAGGGGGGGTGTGGAGTGGGGATCTGGAGTGGGTGTGGAATGGGGGGTAATGGGCGGGGTGCAGGAGGGTTGATGGTAACAATGCCAGTTACAATATGCCAGTCTTCCAAAGAAGATCCTGTCATTAATATTGCCTGCACGCGAGGTGAAAGCACGTAGCACCGTATGCCTAAATGAATGCATGCTGAGTGCAAAAACAGCATTTAGATCAGTGAATTTTACAGTTAAGGTCTTGAAATAGGCTTGCCTGCCGTTGCCCTCATTGTGCGCTATCGTCTCGCGTGAATAACCATTTTCCTCTGGTGTTGATTTATTTTTTTTTACTCCAGTGGGCGAAGCAAGAAACCTGATTCCGATGGACCCCAATGGGCTGTCAGACCCCTATGTCAAGCTGAAGCTGATCCCGGATCCCAAAAACGAAACCAAACAGAAAACGAGAACCATTCGCTCTTCGCTCAACCCCAACTGGAACGAGTCCTTCACCTTGTAAGTGGGTCCAACCTTGGCCAGGGGGTGTGTCCTCCTGAGCCGTCCTGCTCCACTCACTCTTATGCTTGCAAATAAAGTTCATGCAGCTCTCACGCTCTGTGACCTGGAGCCACAGCCAGCCTGTGGCCTTTACAAGCCATGCCCGTGATGACCACACACGTGTGCTTTGCACTTTGCTCTGCTTGTGCTCCATCCACTGGAGCAGGCTTGAGTAAAGGAACTTGAGATATTGCTGTAGTCATATGCAGCATGGTGGGCCAGCTCGGTGCATTGGACCTGCAGCACCAATGTTGCTGGCATCATTGCCGGCAGGGCGAGGGAGGTGAATTCCTCATCTCGCCGTGGGGATCACTGGAGAACGAGACCAGATTCTGACTGAGGAGCCAGAGAACGTGGGTCTACAGAGCGGGGAGATGGCGAGGGGGCATGGTCATCGTTCTGCAGTGTTCGTGCACCCTTCACTCCTCGGCGGGGGTTAGTGAGCCGGGGAGGGGGGGCTCGGGACCAGCCGGTCTACGGAACGTTGCCTGAGCTCTTGTGCTCTTTGTTTGCAGCAAGCTGAAGCCCAGCGACAAGGACCGGCGGCTGTCTGTGGAAGTGTGGGACTGGGACAGGACCACCAGGAACGACTTCATGGGGTCCATGTCCTTCGGCGTCTCGGAGCTCATAAAGTCTCCGGTCTGCGGCTGGTAAAGAGCTTTGCCCGTCTCCTGCGTATTTAATTTCCCCCTTCAAACCCTCCTGTCTGGAACCTTTAGGTGGAGCTCTGTTCTCATGAGAGGCTTTTGTTGTTATGGTGCATGTCTGGTCCTTTCACATGGCTTCTGGGACTGAGGAGGTCAAAGCTACACACATCAGTGCTTTCCTCTCCACAGCGCGCCCCGGTATTGGTGAAAGATAGCAGCTTAAACAGCACCTTTAGGTCAGAATATTAACTTCAGTTCTATTTTACTGTAAGTCTAAATAAGTAATGTGAGACTTTCTGAATATTCAGATGATGAGGAATTAAAGGCACCCCTGTCGACATAAACCTGTGATCACTTCCGTTAACTCTGGCAAATGAAGGTAACATCAGTCATAAGAATTGTTTAACGAGAGCTCACATTAGCCGAGAGGCCAAAAGCTGCTAGCGACACACGTCTGCATGAAGGAAGGTGAATAAAATATCTCGGAAGTTGAATTTGCAGGAGGTGAAATGTGTTTCTTGCCACAGCCTTCTGTTTGCAAGCATCCTGAATTGGCATTTTTGAAAATGCCAGTTCACAAGCCCACATTTTTGGTTGGCACCAGCAGGGCACTTTGGAAATTTGGAATCATAGGGAGATAAAAACCAAATGAGATCTCTGTCTGTGGCTTGCGGAGAGTGGCCACCACAGCTGTGTTTAGAAACAGCTGCTGTATTGACCTGTGACTCAAGACTACTGTGATTGGCAGGCCTGACCTGAGCCCCGCCCTGCCAGCCTGCTGCTGGACAGCTCTGGGGCTCCCAGTTAGGGAAAGAATCAGATGAGCATGATAATAATGACCAGAACTTTGTTTAAACAAGTGAGACAAAATCCCACAGAATGCAGCATTTCTTTTTCAATTATAAAAAGAGGCATGAGGCACAATTCAATTGTGTTTTAAAATATTTGGAAAAGATGAAGCAGAATTCACCTTGTTGACAAGCCCACAGATGTGAAGTGAAACACTGGCCATCAGCATGCAGTTTTCAAGATAAAGCTTTCTGTAGTGTTGCGCACATCTTAGAGACTGCTTGTTCGTAAACTGTTACGTGCTGATGTAAAGAGAAAACCAAGTACTCTAGGTTTTGTATCATTGGGCACATTGTCAAATTTTGAGTCATTAGGATGTTAATTGATTAAGTAGTCCTTTTCCTTGAAAAATAAAATAATCATATTCCTTGGTATAATAATAATATCAAGTCATGTATTTTAAGAAAAAACATGATTTTCTGGCAAGGCAGCCAAGTGCTTTGAGTGAGATTTCCTGTTCAACAACGGTCCGGAGAATCAAGTTAGCCAGCGGGGTCTCCACCTCCGCCCAGGACCCTCACCTGGAGCGTGCAGACTGCAACAGCCCCAGGTGGGATAATATGCACCTCAGCACGGTGACCAGCTCATCGTCTTTAAGTGATCTGCGTGCTCAAGGGGCCTTTTGGGGGAACATCCTAACAGCAGAGAGACATCTGGTGGAGCCAGAGCGAGGGGGTAGTATGTCGTTTTCCAATGCATACTGCTTTGGCATGACACGGCGATGATGAAGACGAAGTGTGGAAACGTTGGGGTTGAGCATGATGCTGACAGCCACCTGGTTCCAGCTTTATTGAACATCTTTGATGAGGGCAGCCTTACTTCTCAGCAATGCTGTGAGTGAGCCTTTGAGCTCACAGTTTCCCATTCCCAAGTCAGTCTGTAACTATCCGATGTGCAAGACCACACAGAGCTGGGATTCATCAGGACATTGCTGAGGCCTCAACCCAGCCAGCTTTCTCTCCTGACTTGAGTCCAGTGAATTCTCGGTGGACTGGCTCACCAGTGCCTTCCACTGGAGGGACCTGTTCCCAGCTTGCCTGCCCAGGCTGTCCAGAGACGAATTGGGCCTGTGAATCGACACTGCCAGGGTTGTGATAGAGCCTGGTCATACCTGGAACTAACTCCATATCGTATTCCTTTTGACAGAGCCATTTTCGTACTGACGATGTGTCCTGATTCTTTGATCTGTATTCTTGCTCCTCGTTTCTTATCATATTCAATCCAGTCGATTAGACCAGGGTGTTGCGTGTCCGTCATACTGGTGTCTGGAGCGCTGTCTTGTATTTGTGTGTCCTCTCACGCCCAAGCTTGCCCTCTCTGGTCATCTCCCGCATGACACTGCGGAGAAACCTCCTCAGCTTTCTTTTTTTAATTCCCCTCAGGTACAAGATGCTCAACCAGGAGGAAGGCGAGTACTACAACGTGCCCATTCCAGACGCGGAGGATGGCAACACGGAGATGAGGCAGAAGTTTGAGGTGAGGGGAGGTTCAGTTGCAGCTTGATTGTCAAGATGGTCAAAAGCGAGCAGCCGCAGAGGAAACTGCACGAGGGGTGTACAGCAGTACTGTTTGCTCCAGCCTGCACAGCAGTGCTTGAGCCAGGACAAAACACACGGTTCCTTTATTTCATGCTTTCAGTTCTTTAGTAGGTCCAGCTGGGTGTTGTATCTAACAGCTACACAATCTCAAGATATTCAGGGCCATTTGCTTTTAAAAATCTGTGCAGTGTAAGAGGTCTTCATGTTGGCAGTGAAACTGGGCTGTAGTTGACCAATGCTGGGATTTTAGAGACACCCTTCACACGAGATAAGATTTATTTTATATGCTTTAGAATAAACAGTTTAGAACAAAATACAGAGAGCAATATTGTTATTTTTAAGATTAAGCATCATTATTCATCCAGCAGTGATATTTATCCTACCACAGCTGTGGTGCTTCATTTACAGAAACATTTTTTTAAGTTAAAATGCGGTTTTCAAATCCCTTTCCTGTCTGAAAGTGCTAAAATAACTCAAATCCTCATTGAACACGGAGTCAGGGGTCACCCTCTGTGAGACTCATTTCAAAATGAATCGTATCAACATTGGTCACGGGACACGTTCATGAGACACGAGTGCCAGAAACATTTGGTGCGTAACCTTTGTCCTTTCATCGGATTGCGAACAGTCATGCTTTTGGAGATGGATAAATAAATAATTAAGAAGGATTGGTGCTGAGCGAGGACGTGCTGATGGCTTTCTCTTGAGACTATTTAAAAGTCTTGAGCGGATGAGGTAATGAGAGTTCTGCACATCTGGTTGCCAGGGCAACAGGAGGCGAAATTGTCTCATTAAAGGTAATGGGTCCTTCAGTTCCACACACTCATCATCTGGCAGTCTGAGGAGCCGGACCGCACGGCTGCACCTGTAAGACGGGGGCCGAGGGGATTATAGAGGAGGCCCGGGAGGTCCACAGCAGAATCCTGGGCAGGACGTGGGGAACCAGCACAGTAATCCTTCACCTGGAGCCTTTCCCCCTCCCTCCCTCCTGCTCCTTCAGAGTGAACCCCTGGCGCTTGCAGATACTGTACGTCTAGCAGGGAACAGGGAAAGGTCTGTTACCAGCATCATCTTGCCTGTTATGTACAGCAGCAATATAAATATTTCCTCAAAACCAGCTGTATGTGGGTTGGTAATGCTAAACATCAGTAGTCACCTTTGCTGTTCTTATTTGTGGGTACTGAAATAACCCACAGGTCAGCGCAACAGAGTAAAATAGCTATGATTTATTCAGAGGGGAAGAGGGCAGGCAACACAGGTATTTCAAGGCTCCAGGCTCTTTGTTTTATTCCGTTTGTTTCTCAGATGCTCGTGCACAGTCCTCTGTAGCCACATATTGTGTCATTTTCACAGATCTTTCATTTTCCAGCCCCTTTAAGTTCTAAGGTATTGCAACGGCCAGTGTTCCTGTTGTTGGTACAGACCGCCCGTTAAGGGTGTGATGACATCATCGGCTCGATGGCAGAGCGGCCACTGGCACGCCCAAGACCGCGGCTCCTCATCCGCAACGGGCCGCGACGTTGCCATGACGACGCTGCCGGCCTGAGCCAGTTCTCTTCTGCCATGCGGCCTGGCAATTCAAGAAGGGGCTCCCCCATTTCGACTCGGCTGCGGGGGTCCACGTCGGTCTACCTGGACTAGCGTGTCTCTGCCCCCTGCTGGAATAGGACAGTCGTGCGGCCGTGTTGCCAGGGAAGCAGTGTCCCTCCCCAGTGAGCTGCACGCTCAGCAGATGCGATTATCCCATGCTGCCGGCAGCAGAGAGCTGGAGCTCTTGCCGCCTGAAGCACTAAACAGAGAGCTCTGACGAAGGCCGAGCGTTCCC